TTCCTTCCTTCCTTCCTTCCTTCCTTCCTTCCTTCCTTCCTTCCTTCTTCCTTCCTTCCTTCCTTTCTTTTTGTTTTTTAAGATAGGGTTTCACTCTGTAACCCTGGCTGTCCTGGAACTCCATTTGTAGACCAGGCTGGCCTCAAACTCACAGAGATCTGCCTGCTTCTGCCCCCCCTCCAAAATCTGGGATTAAAGGTGTTTGCTGCTACCACCTGATTCTGCATCCATTCTTAATAACTGTGCCTAGGGGAATAGAGCCTAGCCAGCCTGAGCCACACCCCAGCACTGACCCTTGGGTCACCATGGAAACCAGGTGAGTGTGACTGCAGTGTGGGGCCAAGGCCAGGATGGGAAACAGCTAACCAGAAGTGATAGCATCTGCGGAGAGAGGGGAGCAGTGGCCGCATGGAGCTCCGGAGGTATGCCTCCTTGCTCAAAGCTTGGGGCTGCTGGGCTTATGACCTTACCACTGAGCATACAGAGATGGACGAGTACAGTGCTGTGCAGTTGGAGGATTCTGACATGGCATTGACCACCCAGAGCAGGACCTGGGAATCCATGCAGTTGTCCTCTCATCCCAGTCTACCGTGCTGCTGAAACCAAAGCAGGGGCATTGTGGAGGAAACATAGAAACCTGCCTTGTGATCTTCTAGCATGATGCCAACCTCTCTTGGTGGGCCAGGCATTGGAGTTCAAAGAAAACAGGCAAGGTGAGGGTCAAAAGAAAACTCGAGTCCTGGGGCACCCTGACCTGGGGAACCAATGAAGGAAGCGGGGCTGGAACAAGGGTTAAGATATTCCAGAGGCCTGAGGTAGGAGAACGGCAAGTCCAAGTTTAGCCTGGGCTATGTGATCAGGAAAGCATGGGCTAGAGAGTGCAGTTGGTGTGGAAAACAGCACTTGTTATGTCCCTTGGTGCAGAAGGCCTGGGATTCCATCCCAGAACTAGGGGAAAGGGTGGTGGTGGGGTGAATGAGTGCCCTGAGACCGATAAGGAGAGCATGAAGTATTTGTGAGCCCTATTAATGTGGTAAACAAATGTATTTTGAAACATCAGCAAAGTTACCACTGAGGAAACAAAATACCAAGTTCATCTCAGTAATAGTAAAGTTATGGAATTCTGTATTACTAAGTCTGTATTACAAAGAAAGTTTAATGAATGTGAGAGAATTCAGCTCATGTTAACCTAATGGGAAAACACACACATACACACACACACACACACACAGAGAGAGAGAGAGAGAGAGAGAGAGAGAGAGAGAGAGAGAGAGAGAGAGAGTGCTGAGTGATAGCAAACATTCACACGCTAGCCCGGGAACATGTAAAGATATAGGCCTTCTTTCACATACACCCCTGGCTGCTAAAGTCAGGATTCTAAGTTGAATGGCCTGAGCTAGGTTGGCAAACACTGTATAAAGATGGGACTCCTTTGTGCAAAGAGAAGCCTGTGTGGTAGAGGCCAGAGGAAGACATCAGGTGTCTCCTTCAATTACGTCTTACCTTCTTTAGGAGACAGGAGGAATTTATCCATTCATATAGTTTGGTTGCCCAATGAGTTCCTGGAAGCAGTGTGTATATGGGTCCTGGGATCTGCACTTGGGTCCACTTACTTGAGCCACAAGACATTTTACTGACTTAGCCATCTCCCCACCCACAGCCTCAGACAAACAGAAGGGGTGGAGAAGGAGTTAGGAGATAGGAAGTAAGACAGATCACATTATCCAAGCAAAGCCAAGTCATTCTTAACACTAAATATTTCTCAACGGTAGACTTTAAGAGTTATACTTCTGGCCCAGCAACAGCGAGAGCTTATGAACCTCCTGCCTGTGGAAACAGGTGACAATATTTTTTTTAAAAAATAAAACAAAAACAGGCCTCCTAAATTGGGCAGTGATGGCACACATCTTTAATCCCAGTACTTTGGAGGCAGAGGCTGGTGGATCTCTGAGTTTGAGGCCAGACTGGTCTACAAATTGAGGACAGCCAGTGCTACACAGAAACTATCTTGAAAATCACAAAACAAAATGAAAAGAAAATAGAAAGAAAAGAGGGAGGGAGGAAGGAAGAAAGGAAGGAAAGAAAACATGCTAAATTTTGATGAATGGTATATATCATATTAACTACTTTTCAATTTCTGTACTGCTGGCTAGTTTTTATGTCAACTTGACAAAACATAGAGTCACTTTGGTAGAGAGAGTCTTAATAGAGAAAATGACCCTAACAGATGAGCCTGTGGGCAAGGCAGTAGTGATTTTTTTTATTTCTTGATAATTGATGTGGGAGGGCCCAGCTCACTATGGACAATGCCTCCCCTGGGCTAGTGGTCCTGGGTACTATATAGAAGACTGTAAGCCAGTAAGAAGCATCCATGCATGACCTCTGCTTTAATTCCTCCCTCCAGGTTCCTGCCTTGGGTTCCTTTGTTCCTTCCTGACTTCTCTGGATGGTGGATTGTAATCTTCTAATCTTTGAGGTGAAATAAACTTCCAAGTTGCTTTTGGTAATGGTGCTTAATCACAGCAATAGAAACCCAAAGACATTGTAATAAAATACCATCAACAAAGCAATTTATAGAAAAAGGGGAGGGGGTTGTTTGTTTGTTTGTTTGTTTGTTTGTTTTTGAGCTTTCAGATCTAGAAGGAATCATCATGGCAGCTTGGGCCACAGTGAAGAGCTCACATCTTGAACAACAAGCAGGCAGCAGAATTCTAGGAACAAATTTGAAATGATATAAATCTTTAAACTCTCAAAACCTGCCTGCTCCCACCTTGTGACATATTCCTTCTAACAAGGCCATGCCTTCTACCCCTTCACAAACTTCACCAAGTACTCAAATACCTGAGATTATGGGGACAACTCATTTAAACCACACACACACACCAATTTCCTAATTCAACAAGTTATAAGCTTGACTCTAGCATTTTGTGGCCAAGAACATGGGGTTTCATCTGCCCCATCTCCCAAGTGGAGTGTGCCCTTTCTGTGAACAGCCAGGAGTCAGCATTTCTCATCTGGCCTTCAACTATGTGTTGATGGAGCTAAGCTTCAAATGCACGCAGCCAAAAGGAGGGCACTCCCTCCTACCCTGTCCCAACTCAGGGTCCCCCATGAGTACTCTACTGCTGAGAATACTGGGTCCTCAGTCACCCTCAGCTGGGCTTGCAAGACAGTGGTTTCCTGTGGAGAACGCTGGCCCCCATGTACCCAACACTGAGCTCTAAAGCAAAGACCTCTCTCAGTGACAAATGGACCATTATCCCCACCCCATCTCCAGAGCCTTGGCTCTGAGCTTTTGCTGGGAATGATGCAGATCATAAAGTTTTTTTTTCCAAAGGAACCGACTTCATTTGCAGATGTTAAAGAGAAGTTTAATCCAAAACATGGTGGAGGTTAAAGAAAATGGGCATCTGTTAGTCTGGCTGAAGACAGACTGAAGGGTAGGCCCCCGGCTCTGTGAACCAACTGGAGAAGAGTCTGCTGAGGAGTCTGTGCAATCAGATAAATGCCAAACGTTGACCTTAATAATTTTCTATCCTTTCAAAGGGGCCCAAAACTGATTGGACGTTTTTCCAGTGTGGAAAGCAATTTATGCTTATGGCTACGCTAAAAACAGCAGGGCAATTGGAGCCATTAGTGGCGCTTAAATCAGGGACTAGACACAGAGTGCCAAGACCCCTGCCGTGCCAGGCTGACAGCGGCACCGACAGGCTACAGATGTGGGGAAGGTGGAAACAGTCATTGAAATAACCTGTCTAAATACTGAAAAACAGTATGTTCAGTTGACAAAAAGTGAGAAGGAACAGTACCAGAACTGCTAAGATATATCTCTAAAACCATTCAACATTCCAAAACTTATGAAGAAATTTGAACGTGTGGCTCATGCCAGGGTTTGAGTGTGAAGTGTCCCCCCCCCCCGGCTCTGTACAGTGGTTGGACACTGTAGAAAGAGTGGATACAGATTTGCTTTCTGACCCAGGTAAGAGAAGCAGACTCACTTCCAAGGCAGGACCCTCTCTAACGGTGGAAGCATCAGAACTGTATGGCAAAGCCCTTTCTCATGTAGGGCTCCGCCCATCCCTGAGCATGCTCAGTTAAGGACTACACTCTCTGAGCGTGCTCCGTTTAAGATAAGGAGCAGGCATGTTCAACCTCCATCCTGCCAGGAGAGCTGAAATGCAGTCCAACACAAAATACATTACATTTTTTGTAACTAACTTAACTGTAGGTTGGACGTGCCTGGGGGAATGCGTCTGAGCTTGGTTAGCCCATACCACAAAGTTTTATCTAAAAATAAAGGACATTTTGAAGTTGTATTCTAACAAGAATCTGCCCTTGCAGGTGCCCACCTCACTGAGCAGCCAATGTCTTCTCTGTTACAGGCTTGAGCCTCAGCGGTTGTGGCTCTCAGAAGCAGTGGGGAGCCTTAGGAGGCGGGGCCTAGCTAAAGAAACAGCGTAACAGGGATGTGATTGCTATGTCTGAAAGGTTCGAATTGCACCCTTTCTTTCTGCTTCCTGTCCATGCTGAGGTAAGATGCTTGCTCCGCCTATCCATGCTCCTGCTTCCCTGAGATGTTCAGCCTCCCCTTGGGCAACAGAGCCAACCAACTGCAGGCGGAAACCACTAAACCTGTGAGCCAAGATAATTCATTTGTCCTGCCAAATCTCCTCATTTAGATAGTTGTTGTATAGTGTAAAACCAACATACATATTAAAATGCTCCGTTACAGGCAGAGAGGCAGGTGGATCTCCATGAGTTCAAGGGCAGCCTGGTCTACATAGTGAGTTCCAGGACAGCAAGGACTACAAAGAAAGGCCCTGTTTTTAAGAAAAAGCATTCCATTGTAGTCACAACTGACAGGAAAAGAGTGGGAGACAAAAATACGGTGAAATGTCAGCAAATAGAGAAAATATGGTGGTACTTGGTATCTGCCTGCCTCTGCCTCCCAGGTGCTGGGATTGCAGGTGTGAGCTATCTGTCATGCTTGGTTCTCAAGATTCTTCTAATTTTATTCAGGTTTTTTTTTGTTTGTTTGTTTTTGAGACAGCGCCTTCCCGGAGTATATAAATTTGAATCCCTATCAGAATAACTAAAACATTTATTCAAGAAATAAGATTAGGACTGGAGAGAAGGCTTGGCAGTTAAGAGCACTGGCTGAGGACCTTGGTTCAACTCCCAGCACCCACATGGCAGCTCACAACTATTTGTAACTCCATTTCCTGGGGATCCAACAGCCTCTTCTGACCTCTGTGGGTACCAGGGACATAAGTGCTACACAGACATATGTGCAGGCAAAATACCTATACACACAAAATGATTTTTTTAAAGGAAAATTATTATTATTATTATTTACGAGAGAGAGAGAACATATGTACATACTGTGGCGGGCATGTGGAGGTCACAGGAAGACTTCCTGGCGTTGGTTCTCTCCGTCCTTTAGCGAGGTTTCGGGGATGATGCTCTAGTCATCAGACTTGGTGGCGAATTCCTCACCCGTGGAGCCTTCTCACTGCTCCAAAGCTGACAGCTTCAAATGGTTTATTAGAAAAGAAGCATGCCTCAAGTCAATAACTTAGCATGTTCGTTCACCTTAGAACCTGTTGGAAAGAGCAAACCAAACCCAAGGCAAACAGAATGAAGGAACTGGTAAGGAAGAGGCAAAGTTTCATAGAGAAAACTAATGAGCATATAAACAAAATTGACAAAATGTTAATCAAGTTGACTAAACAATATGAGAAATGCTGTAAATTACCAAAACCAGGAATGAAAGAGGGAGCGTCTTCCTCAGCAGAGCCAGGATGAGGAGGAGGCAAATGAGAAACTTGGTGTGTGGAGACTCAGGCCACATCGCTGAACAAATCCCAAGGGTGAGACCTTAGGCTTTGCCCCCTCAGGGCCTCATCTGGAATCAAGAGTGGAGCAGAGCGCCACCTACAGGTCTGTTTCTGCAAAGTAGATAAAGTGGACAAATTCCCAAAAAGACAAGTATGAAAATCCTAAGACCTAGGGAATCAGAATTTCCAAGTAAAGAAAGCGAAGGGGTGAATAAGGATATTATCATAAAGTACGATCTGGGGGGCTGCACTTCAAGTTTCATCAAATGTTTCCAGAAGAAATAATACAAACCCCTTTGCAGATTGATAAAATAGACACACACACTTCCTGACTCTAGAGGTCAAACACACCACAGGAAAGGCTGCTGCTCCCCTAACAAGGACAGCCACAGAACCCCTGACAAAACTCCACACACCAAACCAGCAACATATAGTGAGGACCACATACCCCAGCCAAGTGGGGCTTTTCCCAGCAGTGAAAACATAGCTGAATGTTTTAGAAAAATCAACCGCCAGATTCTGTGCTGTTGTCTTACGGTTTCTATTACTGTGAAGAGACATCATGACCACGGCAACTCATAAGTGAAACATTTAATTGGGGTGACTTGATTACAGTTTCAGGGGTTCCGTCCATTATCATCATGGCAGGGAGCGTGGCTGCCAGGCCGTGTGAGGGCAGATGTGATGCTGGAGAAGAGAGTGCTGCATCTTACAGACAACAGGAAGTCGGCTAACTCACTGGGTGGTATTCCAAAAATAGGAAACCTCAAAGCTCACCCCACACAGTGACACACTTCCTCCAACAAGGCCATGCCCACTAACAAAGCCACACCTCCCGATAGTAGGCACTCCCTGTGAGATTATGGGGGCCAATTACATTCACTATAGGTATGTACCTGTAATCTCAAATACTTTAAAGGCTGAGGCAGGAGAATTTCAAGTTTGAGGACAGAGTGGGCAACCTAGTGAGTCCTCAATCCCAAGTGTATATCCATTCATAAATTAGTAAAATATCCTATTCAAAAATCTTTATTCCCATACACCATGTCAAGTAAGAACAAAACCCAACTGGGTTGGCCTCAAGCTCAGACTCCCCTGCCTCAGTCTTCCTAGTGCTAGAATTACCATTATCTCCTACCACCGCTGGTGACTTACAGTTTCTAACTGTGAATCTGTATGTTATTCAGCGTTTTCCATGGATCTGCTTTCATTGCTTTCCTATGTCTGTCCCTGTGGGGCTCTGTGACTGGACACCATTAGGCTCCATCATTCACATGTCCATTCTTATACGAGTGTTAACGCTGTAGCTTAGCTGTGCCTGTGAATACCTATGAATATATGGTAGGACAGAGCTGGGGCAATAGCTCAGTCTATAAAGTGTTTGCTCCGCAAGCCTGAGGACCTGAGTTCAATCCCCAGAATCCACATTTTAAAAAACCAGGCGTGATGACGTTGTAAACCCAGGGCTGCAGGAACAAGTAGGCCCTCCAGGGTCACCAACCAGCTTAATCTACTCACTGAACCCCAGATCTCAGTGAGACACTAGCTGAGATAAAGAACAGAAAGTTCACTGCCCCAAGGAAGGACAGCAGAGGTCTCTTTACCCTTGGTTGTGAAAATAGTCTTAGCTATCCACGGACTTGGCCCATATGAAATATAAAAGTAAAGTCAATAGCCAACAGTGCTGTCAGGGCTCTTAACCCAGTATACTGGGCTCGGGTGTTAATTTGGGTGGAACCAACACCTTTCAAATGTTAAATTAACCCCATCCGTCCAAATAGCATGCCATACTTACTCAGCCCTCCTTGTGTGCCTGTCCTCTAAGAGAGATGAAAGCATGCACTCCTTAAAGGTCAAACGAGGTTTTTATTGCCATAATCGTAATCTCAGGGTGCATTTTTCTTGATCTTTTATCTTATTTTCTATTGCATATAAAAAGCTCGCAGGACAACGACCTGTCCTTCCTTCCTTCTTTCCTTCCTTCCTTCCTTCCTTCCTTCCTTCCTTCCTTCCTTCCTTC